GAGCTTGTGTCTTTTGGTTGGAGCATTTAATCCACTCACGTTTAAGGTAATTATCAATATGTACGTTCCTATTACCATTTTTCTTAATTGTTTTGGGTTTGTTTTTATAGGTCCTTTTCTTCTCTTGTGTTTCCCACTTAGAGAAGCTCCTTTAGCATTTGTTGTAAAGCTGGTTTGGTGGTGCTGAATTCTCTTATCTTTTGCTTGTCTGTAAAGCTTTTGATTGCTCCATCGAATCTGAATGAGATCCTTGCCAGGTAGAGTAATCTTGGTTGTAGGTTCTTCCCTTTCATCACTTTAAATATGTCATGCCGCTCCCTTCTGGCTTGTAGAGTTTCTGCTGAGAAATCAGCTGTTAACCTTATGGGAATTCCCTTGTACGTTACTTGTCGCTTTTCTCTTGCTGCTTTCAATAATTTTTCTTTGTCTTTAATTTTTACCAGTTTGATTACTGTGTGTTTCGGCGTGTTTCTCCTTGGGTTTATCCTTTATGGGACTCTCTGCACTTCCTGGACTTGGGTGGCTATTTCCTTTCCCATGTTAGGGAAGTTTTCGACTATAATCTCTTCAAATATTTTCTCGGGTCCTTTCTCTCTCTCTTCTCCTTCTGGGACCCCTATAATGCGAACGTTGGTTCGGTCAATGTTGTCCCAGAGGTCTCTTAGGCTGTCTTCATTTCTTTTCATTCTTTTTTCTTTATTCTGTTCCACAGCAGTGAATTCCACCATTCTGTCTTCCAGATCACATATCCGTTCTTCTGCCTCAGTTATTCTGCTATTGATTCCTTCTAGTGTAGTTTTCATTTCAGTTATTGTATTGTTCATCTCTGTTTGTTCTTTAATTCTTCCAGGTCTTTGCTGAATATTTCTTGCATCTTCTCGATCTTTGCCTCCATTCTTTTTCCGGGGTCCTGGATCATCTTCACTATCACTATTCTGAATTCTTTTTCTGGAAGGTTGCCTATATCCACTTCATTTCGTTGTTTTTCTGGGGTTTTATCTTGTTCCTTCATCTGGTACATAGCCCTCTGCCTTTTCATCTTGTCTATCTTTCTGTGAACGTGGGTTTTGTTCCACAGGCTGCAGGATTGTACTTCTTCTTGCTTCTGCTGTCTGCCCTCTCCATTCACTTATTTATTCTTTCAATAGATGTTTTGGCACTTGAGGACAGAAACATGTCTAGAACTGGTCCCAACCCTCAAGGAATTTAGAGTATTGACAGGAAGATACAAAGAAGAAAGTCCGAAACCAAATTTGCTTTTCCTTCCAAACCTGCTGCTCCAGCCATTGTCCCCGTTTCAGTCAAAAGCACTTCCTCCTTCCCTCAGGCCAGGACCGTGGGGTCCTCGGTGGGAAAGAGAGGTTTCTTTCATGCCCCACATCCAATCTGTCAGCAAATCCCTGGGTCTCTACCTTCAAATTACATTCAAATCCAACCGCTTCGTCTCACCTCCCCTTCCACCACCCAGCAATGATCCTCCATCACCTCCTACCTGGACCATTGCAGTCACTTCCCCACTGGCTTCAACCTGCCACCCACTACAGCCTGTTCCCCACAGGGCAGCCAGAGGGACCCTGTTAAAACACAAGTCTGGGGACTTCCCCGGTGGCGCAGTGGTTAAGAATCTGCCTGTCAATTTTTCTTTGACTGTTCCAGCCCAGTCCAGGAAGATAAAACACAAGTGTGATCACACCAGCTCAAAACCCCCCAAGGTCTTCCCACCTCCGTAAAATATCAACATCTTACCATGGCCCACTAAGTCTAATAACATCTGACCTCTTCCTACCTCTCTCAACTGTTCCTCATACTTCCCATTACTCTTCCTACTCCAGCCACACCGGCCCCTTTGTCAAGTCAGCAAGCAGGTTTGTGCCTCAGGGCCTTTGCACTTGCTTCTTCCTGTGCCTGAAATACTTTATCCCCAGGCAATCATGGAGCTGACTTCATTTAGGTTTCAACACCCCATCTCAGAGATGATTTTTCTATCAGTCAGCTTTCACTGGATTTTGCTGCAATAACAAACAACCCCTAAATCTTGATGATTTGCTCATCAATTTCTCACTCATGTTACACATTGACGGCAGGTCAGCTGTGTCTCTTCTTCACACATCCTCTTTGTCCTGGAACCATGGCTGAAGGAGCAGCCCCATCTGGGACAGGTAGTTATTGGAACCAAAGAAGAACAATGGATGAGCCAGGCCATAACTTTAAAACATCTGCTCAGAACTGGCTTGTGTTGTCCCCTCCAAATGCAAGTCAATTGGTGACACCTAGTTCACAGGCTTGTACCTGCTGAAAGAAACACTAAAGCTGTGAGGGTTTTTTGGTTTGTTTGTTTGTTTCTGCCTTGGGAAGGAGGGACATGCAGGGGAAGCTGGAGGGAGTAGAGTCAAAAGTGTTGGGCAGCCACAAAGGAGGAATATTGAAGAAATTCTTCCTTGTCTCCTTACTGTGTCTTATTTTTCTTCATAGCTTTTACCATTCCCTGGTATATAGAGTACCTGTCTACTTTTTTTATTATCTTTCTCTTCCCAACTCCCATCCAGCATGGTACCTCCAGCAAGACAGGAACTTTGTCTCTTGCTCACAACTGTATCTTCAGCACTTAGGACAGGGCCGAGCACATAGTAGGTGCTCAATAAACATGTATTCATTGAATGAATACAAAGAGCAAAGGGCCATGGTGGCGGAGCCCAGGGAGCTGTGGGAACCAGAGGAGGGTGGTTTCAATGAGACCCCAGACCACCCCTCAGGGCTCAGAGGTGGAAAGGAGCCAGCAGAGGGGCTGTCAGGGGAACCAGACAACTCCTTAACTCAACCCACCCATTCCAGCTGGCACCCATCTCCCTCCATCACACCCTCACCCAGCCTCACCCAGACCTGCGACAAGACTTTTTATTTAATTCAGCAATTTTGACAGCCTGGACCTTTTGGCCTTCCCAAGTATTTATTGACTCAAAGCGTTTTTCCCCAGGAATACGAGTCACCAAAGGCCCGCCCCCTCCTACTGACACTCACCACATCTTAACCCTATCCCTGAGAACCTCCCTTTTCTTGACCCCCTCTTAGAGTTCATCCCTAACCTTCACCGCATCCCTGACCCTCAGCCCCGCCCCCAATTTTGAGCTTCAGTAACGGAGGCTGTATCATCTGCATTGCGTGGAATTGTTCAGGACCAAGGCTCTAATGATTTGATGTCAGACAGAGGCCCCACTCCTGTCACCGAGAAGTCAGATGTCCAGTGGGGAAGAGGCAGAATTTGGGGTGAGGTGGGCCCCAAATCTGAAGTCCAAACATTGGCAGGGGGGAAAGAGGGAAGCCTCTGACCATCCAGAGTCAGAGAGGAGGCTGCTGCAACCACAGTAAGCGTAGCTGGGAGCCCTGGGAGGAGGGGGAACCCCAGAGGTGACATCATGGTCCAGGGGAGAAACATAGCAGCGGCCACAATTTCCCGATTTGGAAATAACTCAGAGGCCCAGAACAAGAGTGCCAGAAAATTCAGAGATTTCCCAGAGACCAGCTCCCACATTTCCATTCAGAAATTCACCTACATACATGCAGAGTGAGAGACACCATGCACCAGAGCCACCCACCCACAGCTGTGTGCCAGGAGTGGGCTCTGGGGCCAAGTCAGAGAGGGAAGCAGGGAAGAGAACCCTCCAAACTGGCCAAAGCCCAAAGGGGGAATTTTCTAGAAAGATATGGGGATGTCACAGAACAAGGGTCAGAGCTGCTAGTGGGCCAGGTGGGGATCATGACTGGGATGAACAGGGCTGGGGACCAGCAAGTCTCCCAAGCTCCGTATCAGCATAGGGCTCTCTGGGTCTCTCTGTCCCCTCTCGATTCTCTCCCATCTCACTATCTGTCTTGTGTCTCTATCTTTGTGCCTTTTCTCTTTCTCTCTCCCTATCTCCCAGTGGCCATCTCTGAGTGTGTTTATCTCCATTCCCCTCTCATTCCTCAGTCTCTGTCTTGGTCTCTCTCATCTCTCTCTCTTCTACACGTTGCTCCCTAACCATCATCACCTCTAGACATGATGCTGTTCTGTGTATTGATCTGTTAATGGTCTGTTTCCCTCCGACAGAAGGTGGGCTTCAGGAAGGCAGGGATTTTTGTCTGTTTTATTTTCTGCTGCATCCCCTGTGCCTGGAATGCTGCCTGGTTCAATAAAATATCTATGGAATGAAAAATGAATGAGCCATCATTCTCACCAGCACTGTTATTTGGTGATAACTGTAAAGCAACAGTTGTTGTCATTGTGATAGCTGTTTATTGAGTACAAACGATATACCAGGAACTGGGCTAAGCAGTTGCTTAAGTCTTACAAACCCTCCCGTGAGGTGAGTGCTGTTATCCTGTCCATCTTTCAGATGAGAAAACTGAGGCCTCTGGAGGAGAAGCAACTTGCCCAACATGAACCCAGGGGGTTTAAGCTTTTGAGCTTCGGAACTCAGGATCTGTCCCGATTATACACTCGACTCTCTGCTCTGTCCCCCGCCAACCTTGAACTTTAGAAAGTCGCTGAACCTCTCTGCGTGCCTCAGTTTCCTCGCCTGTCACATGGGGATCCTTGTATCGAAGCTTCCCCGAATGAGAGCCCACCTCCTAGTGATGTTGTCGTAGTGACGAGTGACAGCGCAGGCGCGGAGGGAGGGGCAGTACCGGAGCCTCGGCGGGAGCCCCGGGAGCGGGCGGGGACCCGGGAGCCCAGTTCCACTTCTTGCCCGCTGCGAGTCTGAGGAGGGAAGGAGCAGAACTTCCCCCTTGCCTCCCCTAGGCTTCGGCGGCTGAGTGACGCCAGGATTCCTGGCCAGGGCCTGCGGCGGCCGCGGCGCCTGGCAGAGAGAATGGATGGGGGAGTCACTTGTAAAAAGAGAGGCACTTGAGAAATGATTATTTTTCCACCCTCGGCCCACGCGTAGCACTTGCACAAAGCTCAGAGATGGAAGGGAGCTCACGCATCATCTGAAGTGGATACGAGTGAGCCCAGAACCAGGAGCATGGCCCGAGCCACTCCCTTAGCTTGGCCGCCGCTGCTGCTGTCCCTGCTGCCGCTGTTCTGGGCGCCCTCGGGAGCCGGTGAGTGACCCCACGCGGTCGAGCGGCCCCTGCTCCCCCTCTCCCTCCCCACCCGCCTGGGCCGGGCCCCCTGGGCTCCCCAAGGCAGAGCGCACCGCCCTTCGCTTTGTGCTCCCCTCCGCCCCGGGGATGAAGAAACGCCGGGCCCGGGGCGGACTCGCCTGACAGCTTCCTGGAAATACACCGGACCTCGGGAGATTTCTGAAGGGCGGGGCGGGCCAGCCTCCGGGGAAAAAAATAAGGTGGAAGGCGACTCACGCCCGGGCACCACACCTCTCGACCCCGCTCGCTACAAGCGGACCCTTCTCCCCAGCCCCCAATAACCCGCAGACAACGCCAGAGGATGCCTGATGTGGGGTGGGGGGGGGCGGTTTGCGGGGAGGGAGCAGCGGGCACATAACCCCGTTGCCGTTGGACCCCACATGTCTGACTCTAAGGACACGGCCGTTCATTCATGCATGCATTCATCTCACACACGTTTACTATAGAGTTCCTACTATGGGCAGCCTTCCAAGTTACTGGGGATACAGCACTGATGTCAGACGGCGGTGGGCTCAAAATAGCTTTTGGCGTGTAATACATGTGTGAGCACAGGAAAGTGACCTAAGCTCTCTGTTTCCATAAAGTGTGTGTTGGGGATGGGGCAGGGGGTGGAATTCTACCTACCTAGTAAGACCGTGTCTTGGGAAGATGCTGAGCTAGGTCAGATGCACTGAAGAACAACACTAATGATAACGATATTTCACGTGAACAATAACAACACTGAATGCAGGCTCGGGGAAACCAGAGTCCGGCCATGTCCCCAAACGTCTCAAGCCAGGCTCTGCCCCTCACTTGCTGGTTAGCTTAGGCAAGTGGCTTGAACCTGCAAGGCTCACATGCCCCCTCTGACCACACGGTGCTCCCAGTGTGGATCGCATGGGCCCTCGGAGAGGGTTGGAGGAGGCCTCACCTAAGGCACACAGTGGAGCTTGGGCCTGGCTATTACTCAGAGTACAAAGCCAGAGAAAGGCCACTTCATCCAGTTTCATCCTCTTAGCAGTCTTGCCATCGAGAGAAGCAGGAGACTCACTTGCCCAGAGCGGTCTTGCCTCATGGAGCGAGAAAAACCAAAGAAAAGAGGTGAGCCACATCAGGAGCCACATCAAGAGGAGCCACATCAGGATGTCATTGCTAGAGCCAGGAGTTTGGACCCAGGGCATGGAGGATGCAGACAGAAGGCAGAGTGGAAGGCTTTCTGGAAGGGTGACATGTCACTCTCAGAGACAATTTGCTGAAAGCCTGGGTGTTTTCTTTTCACCCATGAAGCCTAAGTCGGCAGCTCATAAACAAGGGGCTTCCCAGGAGACTCATCAGAGGAGACTCACTTGCCCAGAGCTGCACAGCATGTCCATGGTGGAGCTGGCATTCGAAGCCAGACTAGCATGCTCACCACTCCACAATCCCCTCGTGTCCAGACCGTGCCCTCCCTCAACACAGCACGCTCCAAGCACCCCAGTCCACTACCTCCCAGCCTCCTCTTCCTCGTAACAATAATTATAATATTCCCCTGTATAGGGTGCTCGGCATAGCTAATCCCTTTACATAAATTTCCTCTTCCTCATTTAGTCCTCCCAACACCCTCTTAAGTTATAACCACCCCCATTTTACAGATGAGGAGACTGAGGCTCAGAGGAGTGAAACCAGTAGCACAGAGGCCACAGCTAGTGAGTAGCAGGACTGAGAGTCAAAGCACTTAACTCCTTCTCACCTTGTCCCTTATCCTTATTATTATTAGTAAGGATGCACAGCATTGTGTTTCTTGATATCGATAAAAGCCAACACATATTGAGGACCTACTATGTGCAGGGGGCCCTGGGCAGAAAGATTTTCATCTGGAGCCTGGTGGATGAGAGATCAGGAGTCTTAACTGTAGATGGCCCAGGTTCAAATCCACCTCTGCCACTTGTGCTCTGTGTGATCTGGAGCACAAGACTCTGTGCCTCGCTTTCCCTCTCTATAAAGTGGGGCTGATGGTAGTGCTTACCTCAAGGAGCTGTTTAAGGCCTGAATGCTGGGAGATGTGTAAAGTGCTCAGAACAGCCCCGATCTTTGTAAGCAACCCGTGAATGTTAACTGTTCTCAGTCCCATTTTACAAACTAGGAAGAAGAATCAGAGAGGTTAAGGAAACTGCCGGAAGGCTCACAGCAGAGATCTGAGGGGATCCGAAATGCTGGGGCTATGATCACCTCCCTTCTCGTGCTAGGATCCCCTACAAACATTTTCCCAACCTGAGTCCGCACAGAGTAATAGCAGTAATACTTTATTTCATGTATTCTAAGACCTAGAGTTTCTTCCCCTTTCCACACCTCTAAATCCAGGATGCTCTAACCACTGAGGACGGGTCGTGCTGTAAATGACATCTTAAAATTGATGACTCGGGGTGATGAAAAAGTTTGTGGTGGTTGCACAACATCGTGAATGTACTTCCTGCCACTGAACTGTACGTTTTAAAATGGTTTAAGTGGCAATTTTAATTTTTAACCACAATATTGACCACAATTTTAAAAACTGATAATGCTGAGATAGAGGAAATACGGTAATAACAGCCCGACTGAACGGGAGCGACCCGGTTGCAGACCCAGTCCAGCTGCCCTCACCCTCACCCCTGGATCCGGACTGACCCTCCCCACCTCCGTCCTCCTCCCCACACACACTCCCAACTAAGGGGCTCCAAGGCGCAGGTGAGCGACCTCCCAGGCGCCTCTCCCCATCCAGATCAGGGACACCCGGGTATGACTCGCCCCGCGTTTCCCCGCAGGGACCAAGACAATCGGAGTGCTGGCCCCAGCCCAGGTGCGCGGCTTCCTGGGCGACACCACAGAGCTGCCGTGCAAACTGCAGCCGCTGGGGCACAACGTGACGGTGACGCAGGTGACCTGGACTCGGCAGAAGCTGGCGGAGGCCGCCCGCAGCGTGGCGGTCTTCCACCCCACCCAGGGCCCCAGCTTCCCGGAGCCCGGCCGGTTGGAGTTCGTGGCCGCCAGGCCAGGCGAGGAGCTGCGAGACGCATCGCTGGCCGTGCGGGGGTTGCGCGCCGAAGATGAAGGCAATTACACCTGCCAGTTCGCCACGTTCCCCAACGGCGACCGAAGCGCCCGAACCTGGCTCCGGGTGCTCGGTGAGCCAGGAGGAGGGGGAGGAGGGGGGCCGAAAGGGAGGGGTGTGGGGCGGGGTAGGGAGGAACGCAAAGAGAGGGAAGGGCCCGGGAGGGAGGGAGAGTCCCTCCCGAGCAGAGATTCCGCGGGGACAAAAGAAGGAGGTCGGGCAATGGTGGGGCGGGGATGCAGAGGGGGAGATTAGAGTGGGGAAGGGCTGGAGGACCAAAAGAGAGTACTAGAGATGCTGGGAAGTAAGATCTTTGAGATTGAGGGCCGAGGGGATGGAGGGGCTGGAGGTGCTGGAGGTGCTGGGGAGCGGGGAGGCGGGGAGTGGCTGGTGCGAGAAAGGGGTGGGGACAGGAAGGACCCTGGAAAGCGGAAAAGCTTGGGAACCTCCTTTCCTCATCTGTAAAATAGGCTTAGTAACAACAGCGCCTTCAGAAAGCTGTCCTGAGGGTCCCGGGAGTTTATCCAGGTGAACTGATTAGAGCAGAGGCCTCTGTGAGCGGGTGATAGGGGGTCAGTTATTGTTACTCCCTTCGGTGAGGAAGGGAGAGTTGAAATAGACAGACTGGGAGAAGGGGATTCTGATACCCAGTGGGGCGGGGCGGCGGGGGTGGGGACACCCTTGGCATTGTCATGGAACCATGTGTTCTTTTTTTTTGCGGTACGCGGGCCTCTCACTGTTGTGGCCTCTCCCGCTGCGGAGCACAGGCTCCGGACGCGCAGGCTCAGTGGCCATGGCGCACGGGCCCAGCCGCTCGGCAGCATGTGGGATCCTCCCGGGGTCATGAACCCGTGTCCCCCGCATCGGCAGGCGGGCTCTCAACCACTGCGCCACCAGGGAAGCCCCCCATTTTTATGAGCACCAGCGAAAACATGACAGGCCCTCCTCTTGGCAGCTGAGTACAAAGTCTCTGTGCCTCGTTTCCTCATCTGTGAAATGGAGATCCGCTATGAGGATGAGTAAGAGCTGACGTTTCTTTTCTGCTTATGTGCCAGGAACTGTCCCAGGCCTTGCATGAATGACTCAGGAAAGATTAAGTGCTTGGAACAGTGCCTGGCACACAGTACCCAACCAAAGGCAACTGTCGTCGTTTCAGAAAACTTGGGACTTCAGGTCCTATGATTTAGGATGAGGGTAAAACAGAACCAATGAGTCAAAGAGAAATCTTCAGTAATAAGAACACAGGTACTGAGGCGAAAGGAACCAAGTGAAACCCCAGGTCTTGGAATCACCAGAATGATTAAGGAATGGTCAAGGTAGGGGCTTCCCTGGTGGCGCAGTGGTTGAGAGTCCGCCTGCCGATGCAGGGGACACGGGTTCATGCCCTGGTCCGGGAAGATCCCACATGCCGCGGAGCGGCTGGGCCCATGACCCATGGCCGCTGAGCCTGTGTGTCCGGAGCCTGTGCTCCGCAACGGGAGAGGCCACAGCATTGAGAAGCCCGTGTACCGCAAAAAAAAAAAAAAAAAAAGAAATGGTCAAGGTAGTTTTGGAGTCAGACAGACCTTGTGGGGAGGTCCAGCTCTGTCGCTGATACCCGTGTAACCTTGAGCCAGTCACTTTCCCTCTGAACCTCCAGGGCACGGCTCATCCCTCCGTCTCTTCCATGAAGCCCTCTGTAACCCCGCCCCCCAGATTCAGGCACCCCTTCTGGGCTCCCCCATCCCAGCCTTGCCCACTCTGAGTCCTCACTGCCTCCGGAAGTCTGTCTTCCCCTTGGAAAGTCCACCATGAAGGCAGGGGTGGGGTTGTCTCGGTCGTTGCTGGGTCCTCAACACTGCCCATCACAGAGCCAGGCAATGTGTCCAATTACCAATAATAATAACATATATTGAGCACTTATTACACGCCAAGTACCATTTTAAGAGCTTTACCTGCAAATTCTCATCACCAGTGATCCTCGCATTACACCCAGTTGACAGACAAGGAAACTGAGGCATGGACTTGCCCAAGGCCACCCTACTGCTCAGGGGCAGAGCTGGGATTTGAACCTGGCCGCATCCTGGCCCCTCGATGATCCGCCCTCCTCTGCTGCTGAGATGTTTGTTGAATGACTGCAGGTGACGAGTGACCCGTCCCTTTTGCTTCTTTCCTGCAGCCCAGCCCCAGAACAAGGCTGAGACCCGGGAGATCCCGCGCAGCCAGCTCAGCCTGGAGCCTGTGCCCGTGGCCCACTGCATCTCCACGGGGGGTCGCCCGCCCGGCCGCATCTCCTGGTCCCCGCCCCTGGACAAGATGGCCAATACAAGCCAGGTGCCAGGGCCCCTGCCCGGCACTGTCACCGTCATCAGTCTCTTAACCTTAATGCCCTCCAGCCACGTGGATGGCAAGAATGTCACTTGCAGAGTGGAGCACGAGAGCTTCGAGGAGCGGGTGGTACTGCCCATGACCCTCAGCGTGCCCTGTGAGTGGACCCAAGTGTGAGCAATGACAGGAGGGGCTGCCAGACTGTCTCTACCCTCCCCCACCGTTGTCTACACTGACCGCCCCCCACCCAGGCCACTTCCAACATCACCCGCATCATCCTCACTGGCTTCCCTGATTACCGCCTCTCCCCGTCCGCACATCGTCTACACTGGCTCCCCTGGGCCATAAACGGCATTGTCCTTCATTGTCTATACCAGCTTCTTATTTTTTTTCTTTTGGCTGCACCACGTGGCATGCGGGATCTTAGTTCCCCAACCAGGGATTGAACCCGTGCCCCCTACAATGGGAGCACAGAGTCTTAACCACTGGACCGCCAGGAAAGGCCTATACCAGCTTCTTAGGCCACAGTCCACACTGCTCCCCGATTGTCTACCCTGGCCACTGCCTACACTGACGCCCCATATGGGCTCCTTTGAGGCCAATCTACACACAGTGCCTACACCTGCTCCCCTGGCAACTGTCCACACTGACCTGTGCACACTGCTACACCACCTCCCCACCATCTACACCAACTCCCTTGTCCGTTTCTACCCTGCCTTAGCAACCATCTACCCTGGCTCCTCTGGGCCCCAGACAGCGCTGCCCTCAATGTCTACACCAGTCATGTAGGCCATCAGCTGTGGGGAGTTGGCACTGTTCCCTGTGTTATCTAGAGAGGTGCCCGTGACCACTGCTGCACTGAAACCCTGCATTTTCTACACGGGTTCTCCCAGGCACTCTCTCACACCGACCCAAAACACTGTCTACAATGGATCCCCTGGAGAGAGGTCTACACTGGCTCCAGTGTAGTCTATACCTCTCTCTAGCCCACTGTTGTCTACACTGGCTCGTCTACGGGCTGTGTCCTCCCATCACTGTCTATACCGAATACTCCCTCCCCAGTAGGTGCTGTACTGATTGCCTCCGCACCCCCCCCACCTCACACACACACAAACACCCTGTCTCATTGGCCTTCCCTCTGGGGATTTTGAAAATCTCCCGTCGATCACATTTGAGTTGGATAAGCAGCAGGCTGAAACAGGGTCATCCAGGATTCTTTCCTACGGGACTCATCAGAGCCTTGAATATGCTCCTGTGTATTATGAGCACCCAGGAGGCCTCTTCTCACAGGACAGCCCAGGCACACCAGGATCTGGCTTTACCCAGGAAAACCAGTAGAGAGAAGCAGGTCCTGAGAAGCCCTCTCTGTGCCCCACCTCCCTGGCAACCTGCTGAGGACTCCCAGACTTCTATTCTCGGAGCCGGGGGGTAGAACCCATCGCCCCAGACCCCTCGGAGGCCTCTCCACCTTGAGCTGTTCCCCAAAACCCACCAAGGCCCTTTTCCTGTTGTGACATGAATCCCAATTATCTTTAGGCCCCTCTGAAGGCTCTCTGTCTCTGAGCCTGTGTATCTGTTTCCCCCAGACCCCCCCGAGGTCTCCATATCCGGCTATGATGGCAACTGGTACATCGGCCGTAGTGAGGCCTCCCTGCACTGTGACGTCCGCAGCAAACCAGAGCCCACAGGTTATAACTGGAACACGTGAGTTCCTGGGTCAGAGGGAGGAGGGGCTGGGAACCCAGCTACCTGGGTCCTGAGAGATGAGGGGGTTGGGGACCTCGGCTCCTGCCTGGGTCTGAGGGAGGAAGGGTGTAGGCAGGAAAGTAAAAAGAGCAAGCAGTCAACTGTAGGCCCCCAGGAAAATGTCTGTCTTGCATGCGCAGAGTTTATGAGGTGCTTTAGTCCAGGTGTGCTGACACACCTGCTCTTTACGGTGTGCCTGCTGTACTTAGCTTGAACCCACATGATCCCCACACTCCAGGCACAGTCTGCACTATGGCCAGGCCTGGATTAAAGATTAGCTCGGCCGCAGGAGCTGCCATCATCTGCCTGGGCACACAGCCATGGGGCACAGAGGTGAGCCTCCCATGGGCGTCTCGCTCCCAACCTGATCCCCCTGTCCGCCCCTGTTCTCTTGACTGAGGGGCAGAGCAATGAGAAAATATCCTCAAATTCATACCGAGGCTGGGGTTACAAGTGGGGGAAGATAAAGGCAAAGGGGTAAATTGTTTTATGTAATTTTTTTAAACTTATTTATTTGCTTGCTCCGGGTCTTAGTTGCAGCACGCGGGCTCCTTAGTTGCGGCATGCGAACTCTCAGTTGCGGCATGTGGGATCTAGTTCCCCAACCAGGGATCAAAACCGGGCCCCCTGCACTGGGACTGCAGAGTCTTATCCAATGCACCACCAAGGAAGTCCCATGTTTTATGTAATTTTTATTGGGCCTTTTTTCCTATTTCAAAAATAACTTAGCATTGTAGAAACTTTGTAGAAAGTACAGAACATTGTAGAAACCATAACAATATGGTTATGAGTAAAAAGAAGAAAATAGCACCTGTAGTCATGTACCCAGTCACCTCCAGAACACCTCCACTGTTACCCTTTGTTATATATCCTTCCCGTCTTTTTTCCCAATATTTCTAAACAAAAACTGTGCTCTATGTACAATTTAAATTTTTTTCCTCTATCTCATGAACACCTCTCCATGTCAAGGCACATAGATCTATTTTCCAACACTTTATGAGGAAAATTTTCACACATACAGAAAAGTTGTAAGAATTTTCCAGTGAACACTCAAAAACCCCACCACGTGGATTCTCCCTCTGATATTTTCACACACTTCTTTGTCACATTCCTGCCCATCAGTCCATTTCTGTCTCCATCTAGCCAACAGTCCTTATCTTCTATGCATTTCAAAATACCCACAGCCCCCTTCTTCATGGTGCTGAGATTCCATCATAGATGAGCCCTTCAATGATTTAACCAATCCCAAATGGGGATACGGAGGTGCTCTCCTGTTTTCAACTATGCAAATGCCATGGTGGTGAGCATCCCCATCTGTCCATCTCTGTAGACAGCCACAGTCGTGTCTCAACGGTTGGCCAGAGGAACTGCCGGTCGAAGGTTTTCAACTGGTATTGATGGCTGGCCGTTAACCTTCCTGCCCCAAAGCGCCATGATTCAGGCTCACGAGCCACACAGCCGGGTTTCCATGCCAGCTCTGCCGCCCAAATCCATGCCTGCGTCTCCTCCATCCATTGAACCAGTATTTCTTGACTGCTTACTGTGTGCCAGATGCTGTTGACCCACAAACCTTGGTAAATAAAATAGACCAAATTCCCTCCCCTCTCAGAGCTCCCATTCTGATGGGGGAGAGAAACAATTAAACAAGATAACATGGGAATTCCCTGGTGGTCTAGTGGTTTGGATTCTGCACTTTCACTGCAGGGGCCCGGGGTTCAATCCCTGGTCGGGGAACTAAGATCCCACAAGCCGCAGGGCGTGGCCAAAATATTTTTCTTTAATTTTAAAAAGTAAACAAGATAACGTTGTCAAGAACAGAGTGTGTCAGGTGGTGATAAATGCCATGGAAAAGATAAAGCAGAGGAGGAGGGTAAGAAGCGGGTCACTGCAGTTGAAAGAGGGTGGCCAAGGAAGGCATCACAAAGGTGATGTCTGAACAGAGGCCTGAAGGAAGTGAGGGTGGGCGGTATGGGTACCGATGGGAAGGGCATTCCAGGCACAGGGAACAGCATATGCGAAGACCCTGAGGTGGGAACATAACTGGAGTGTTCGAGGATCAACAAATAGGCCACCATGGATACAGAGGCGAGAGCAAAGGGGTCAGTGGCATCAGGGAGCCAGCTTGTGTGGGACCTGTGCCCGTGCTAAGGACTTTTCCTTTACTGGAGGGCTCTGGACAGAGGAGGGACTTGGGCTGACTTAGTTCTTTTTTTACATATATAATTTTTTTTAATTTTATTTATTTTTGGCTGCATTGGGTCTTCGTTGGTGCGCGCGGGCTTTCTCTAGTTGCGGTGAGCGGGGCTGCTCTTAGTTGCGGTGCTCGGGCTTCTTTGAACCCGTGTCCCTTGCACTGGCAGGCGGATTCTTAACCACTGTGCCACCAGGGAAGTCCCCGAGCTGACTTAGTTCTAACAAGGTCTCTCAGATGCTGAGTGGGGGACAGAGTGGGGTGGGAGTGGGGGTGGAAATAGGGAGCCCAGTGAGAAGGTTCCCCCAGGAGTAGGGGGAACAGGGTGGTGGCCGTGGTCCTTTGCTCTCGCCTCTATATCCACAGTGGCCTCCTTGTAGATCCTCAAACACTACAGTTATGCTCTCACCTCAGGGTCTTCACATATGCTGTTCCCTATGCCTGGAATGCTCTTCCCATCGGTACCCACACAGCTCACCCTCACCTCATTCGGGCCTCTGCTCAGGCCCTGAGGAGTCGTCAGGCTCAGGCTAGATTCTGAAGGTGGGGCAGACAGGATCTGCCGATCGGCTGGATGGGAGTGTTAGAGGCAGAGCTGGGGGAACTCCAGGCTTGCTCTCAACTTGTACTGTAGATGGCGTGAGGGTTTCTGTATTCCTGGCATACAGCGAGTGCCCCATCACCTGTTATTCTAGGCCTCCAACCGAGGCCACTTCCTCACCCTTCTGTCTCTCCTAGGACCATGGGACCCCTGCCACCCTCTGCTGTGGCCCAGGGCGCCTGGGTCCTGATCCATACCGTGGACGAGTCCATCAACACGACTTTCATCTGCCTTGTCACCAATGCCCTAGGGACTGGCCAGGCAGAAGTGACCGTCCTGGTCACAGGTAAGAAGCCCCCTGGGTGGGGAGAACAGAAAGATCAAAAGAGGAAATCACAGTAGGATTCCCTCTGAAGGAGGAGTTTAGAGATGGTCCCTGGTTAAACGAGTCCCTCAGCCACAAGAATGCTCTCTAGCTCCCATCCTTCCCCTAAGCCCCCTCACGGAAGGCTCAACAGGATCAGCTTTACTCTCTGTTAACTCAGCATCTGTACCATTGGAACCATTGTACAGCCACCTGGACACAGCCCCTCTGCAAACCCAGGCTGGGGTAGTTGCGTGATGCCTTTTCCCAATGGACTTAGGAAGGCCTTTCCAAGTGTATTAGACAGAACTCTATCATTTGCAGTTGATAGAAGCACAACTCAAAATAGTCCAAGCAAAAATGGGACGTTATTGGAAAGGCACCTTCAGGTATGGTTAGATCCAGGTGCTCCAACTATGTAACCCAGGAACTTTTCTTGACCTCTCTTGTCTCTGCTTTTCTCTATGCTGGCTTTATTCCCTGGCAGCCTTTCCCCTCAGGAAGGTAAGATGGTCCTCAGCAGCTATAGGCTCACAGCCCACCAGTTTAGAAATCCCAAGGGAAAGAATACACCACTTTCAATAATCTAGCCAAAATCCCAGGGCTGGCTCTCATTGGCTCAACTTAAGTCACAGACCACCCCCACCCCCATGAACCAATCACAGTAGCCAGGGAGAATGGAATGCTCTGATTGGCCAGGCCCAGGTCAAAGTCCCATCCTAGGAACCAGAGGCGGGGGTCAAGACCACCTAAACCATATAGACTGGGGGAAGCAGAGTGGTAGCTTCCTTAAAAAATGAAGGGTAATATTTTGGGGGCAGGTAAAAAGCCCGAAGTCTCTCATCTTAAATCTCTGCTTCCTTCTCTTCCTACAGGACTTCCCAGGGAGCCATCACATTCGGGCTCATCCTCTGTGATCATTATCATCCTGACTTTCACTATCATCCTCGTTGGTCTACTCCTGCTGGGGCTCCTGATTTACTTCTGGAAATCCAGAAACTCCCGTGAGTCCCCTCTTTTTTGCAACATCCTCCGCCTGTCTGCCATAAATGAACATCACCACAGCAAACATAACTGAGCACCTACTATGTGCCAGGCTCTGCACTAAGCCTTCCACGTGGCAGCCTCTCACTGAATCCTCACCCCAATACCATGAGGTTCTCTCATTTGACAGACGAGGACACTGAGACCAGGCAGTTTGAGTCATCGGATCAGTGATTCATTTTACACAGTGGGAGCAGCGCCTGTAGGTCCTCAAAGGCCACAGTAAGGATTTGGCTTTTAATCCAGGTGACGCAGGAGCTCCTGCCAGATGGATGGAGGGTGGAATAACATTTAACCCCCACCCCAGCTTTCTTCCCTCTGTCTTGCTCACGACTGGCTCCCTCCCTGCTCTCACGGAAAGGAGCGGGGTGGCAGGAACTGGTGCCTGATCCCGAGCTCCAAAAGGATCTGATTTTCTCTCACCTCAAGGGCTTTGCAAGCCTGTTCTGCTGCCTGGAGCAGCATCCCCACAGCTCCCTCTGGCAAAGCCCTGCGGCTAATTCTGTAATCAAAAGAGCTACATTTTGCTGAGCACTTTCTCCATGCCAGGCACTTTCTGCGCACAACCCCCTTGAATGCTCACGACCACCCTGCAAAGAGAGTCGCGCTATGAGCCCATTTATAGATGAGGAAATGTTTGCTCAGAGAGGTGATGTCACCTGCCAGCTGGCACACAGCTGGAAAGTCAAGAGTAGAAGGCAGTTCTGTTGGCTACAAAGCTTTGTTCCTTCAACCACTGGCCTCCTCACATCCCAGCGGGAGGCCCCCTCCTCCAGGAAGCCCTCCCTGATCTTTCCCGAAATGAGCCAAGCACCTGCTCTGGGCTCCCCCACCCCAGCCTTGCCCACTCAGGGACATCACTGTGTGGGGACTTGTCTGTCTCTCCAGTGGACTGGGAGCCCCAGGAGGGCAGAGCTAGAAGTGTCATGGTCATGGCTATGTCCTCAGCACCACCTACCACAGGGTCGGGCACAAAAGAGGCATTTGAGTAAGTGTTTGCTGAATGCATGATGTCTAGAGCCAGACTACCTGTATCTGAGCCCACACTCTACTGCTTCATTGCGTCACCATGGGCAAATGCCTTACTCTCTATGACTCAGTTTCCTCCTCTGTGAAATGGGCGTGACTGTACCTTATAATATAGGTACAGTACTTAGTGCAGCATTTGGCACCCTGTAAGCCACACACTGGGTGTATATATAAGCTATGATTATTACCACTATTACTAATACGCCTGTTGTTATTACCATAGGCACCATGAGAGGAGGGATTTTTGTCTATTTTGCTCACCACATCCATACCCCCAGCACCTAGAATGCACCTGGCACAAAGTAGACATTTTCTATTTGCTGAATAAATCCCTGTTTGATGGTTGAGGAAACTGAGGCACAGAGAGGTTAAGTCAATTACCCATGGTCACACAGCTGCTAAAGGACAGAGCTGGGATTTGAACCCTTCCATCTGGTTCCAGAGCCTGCGCTCAGTTAATATTTACATATACTTAATAACTGAATGAATAACTAGATGAAGCCTATACCCCAGTTGTGTTTTATACATGTAGAAACCATTTGGGGAAGTGATTCCCCCATATCAGCAGCAGAGCCAGGACTTAGAATTCAGGGGGCCTGGTCACCCACATGTGCCTTCCTCCCATACTTTCCAGCATTGTCATTCACTTCTGACCACCTCCTCTCCTGTCTCCTCAGGTTGGAACCAGCACAGCTCGTCTGCTAACGGGGTAGGTGTGGTGATGGAGCTGAGAAGGGTACGGGGGAATTCTGCATGAACCACAGATTAATCACTGTGAGCTTTCCCAAGGAGGGGCCAGGCCTCTCTGGGCACCTGCAGCACTTAACCAAAAGCCAGCACGGCCTCAGGAGTCAGGTCCTGGGTCTTTTCTTCAAAGGCCTTGAGCACCAGTTCCCAAACCCTCCCTGCTGGGCAGAATCCCCCGTGAGGTTTGCTGAAACGCAGGTTCCAGGAACTCCCTGGCGGTCCAGTGGTTAGGACTCCACGCTCTCATTGCCGAGGGCCCGGGTTCAATCCCTGGTCGGGGAACTAAGATCCCACAGGCCACACGGTGTGGCTGGCGTGCATGCATGCATGAATAAATAAATAAATACATACATACATACTGCAGGTTCCTGGGCTCCACCCCCTGAGAGTGGTCTGGTGGGTCTGTGCTGGCGCCTGGGGACCTGAATTTTCATAGGCACCCAGTCCCTCCCCTCCCTACTCATGATCTCCCCAGGATCCACCGACAGAGGGCACGAGGTAACAGCATCGGGACTGAACAGAGAGAGTCCTCACTGGAGCTGGTGAGGAAGTGGGCCTCGCAGCTGGACACCCACCCCACCTCAATGGATGACGTCGCCCTCCAAAGAGACTGGCCACCCTTCCCGTGCCAGACCTCAAGAATGTCCCCTCTGCCTCACAACACAGTTCAGGGGTCCTCAAGACCAATCCTCAGGCTGAGTCACTCAGTGTAAGGAGTCACAGAACTCAGGAAAGCTGTTTACACCTGGTTACGGTTTACTACACTGCAAGTGTGACAGAGGGAACTGTCTGTTGGAGAAAATACCTTAGGGAGATAGAGACCTTGGGCCAGAATGCAGGGCCTGAGCCACTCTGCAAGAGAAAGTGAGAAGGATTGGGGCTTCTCTCTAGGCAGATGGGAGAATGCGGAACACAGAAGGACGGGAAAGAGAGGCGACCCAGCAGCATGGGAGTGGTAAGGGGGTGACAAGGCCAGTGGGGCTCCACAGCGTCAGGGACACAAAGGGAGATTGGTTGCCTTGCTGCCACATAAACCCCTTGTCTGTCCCCAGCCCCCAAACACCTCATTAAAGTTTATTTATTACACCTCGAGTGGCTGTGTGCGAGGGGATCTTTTGTGGGAATTGAGGAGGGACAGAGTTTTTCGTGGACCATCACCGTGTGAGACAGAACCGAAGGCGTGGAGGGAAGACCCTGAATCAAGAGGGCCACAAGGACACGAATCCCCAGGGTTCTCAGACACCAGGGGGAGAGCATGTCTTACTTCTCTCACTCTCTCTCTTTTTTCAATTCTTTTGACTACAAAATACAGGCATACCTCGGAGATATCGCGGGGTCAGTTCCAGACTATCGCAATAAAGCAAGTCACGCGGAGTTTTTGGTTTCCCAGTGCATATAAAAGTTATGATGGGAATTCCCTGATGGTCTAGCGGTTAGGATTCAGCGCTTTCACTGCCGTGGCCCGGGTTCAATCCCTGGTCAGGGAACTGAGATCCCACAAGCCATGCGGCACAGCTAAACAGAAAAAAAACAAGAAAAGTTATGTTTACACTATACTGTAGTCTATTAAGTGTGCAATAGTGTCATGTCTAAAAACAATGTACACACCTTAGTTTTAAAATGCTTTATGGCTAAAAAATGCTAACCACCATCTGAGCCTTCAGTAAGTCGTAATCTTTTTGCAACAGTAACACCAAAGATCATTTTTGTCATCTCTATGTTACCCCAACTTTTAAAAATTAATAACGTAATGTATCCAAAAACCATTGAACTGTGCCCTTTAGGCAGGGGAATTGTATTACCACAAACTTGGTGGCTTGAAAAAACACAAAATTATTTGTTTACAGTTCTGGAGGCCAGAATTCTGAAGTGAGTCTCGGGGGCTAAGATCAAGGTGCGCGCAGGGCTGGTCCCTTCTGGAGGTTCCAGGGGAGAGGCCCTTTCCTTGCCTTTCCAGCTTGTAGAGGCGGCCGGCCTTCCCTGGCTTACGGCCCTGCATCCCATCACTATATCTCTCGCTGCTACATCATCACATTGCCCTCTTCCTTCTTTGACCTTCCTGCCTCCCTCTTTCCCCTATGAGGACCCTTGTGATGACATTTAGGGCCCACCTGGACAATTCTAGATTAACTCCCCATCTCAAGGTCCCTAACTTAATCACATCTGCGAAGTCCCTTTTGCCATGTAAGGGGACATATTCACGGGTTCCAGGGATTAGGACCTGGATATCTCTGGGGACTCATTATTCTGTCTGCCACCTTCTACCCTGGGCCCCTTTTCCATCTCAGGTAACTACTTTCTGGTAAGTTTACTGATGCACAAACACATACATATATATTCTCTTCCCCGCGATAGGTAACATCTCATAGACACTGCTCAGACCCTGCTTTTATTACTGAAGTTTTCTGGAAATTCAGAGAGAGCATCTTTAGCCTTTCTATAGCCACACAGCCCTCCTCCACAGGGGAATGTCCAGGAGTTTTTCAACCAGGCCCCTATGGATGGATATTTGTGTTGTTTCCACCCTTTTACTATTAGTACCATGTTGCAGTGCATGACCTTGCATGTGTATTGGGACACACCCTGGAGGTGGAATTGCTGGATCAAAGAGCAGATCCCCTGTCTTTGTGACAGACACTGACAAATGGTCCCCCATAGAAGTCATGGGTCTCTGTTCCTACCAGTGATGGACATGACAGCCTGTCTGGGGGGGAAGATGTGTGGATTTCACAGAGCCAAGAGTCAAGAGCGGACCCAGAATTTTGGTATAAATGTTGTGTAAACTTCACATTAGACTGAGAAAACCACACTTATCCACATTGGAGAATGGGGAGGAGAGGGTCTGATGACGACCGTGGAGAGGCTTAGAGAGCCCCAAACCCTCCCCATCCCCGGCTGCTTCTGCACAGCGTAAGTTGAGCGGGGGCTCAAACCAAACCAATACCATCCTGCTTTGAGTTACTGCGAGATCCCCAGAAACCTCTGGACTGCAGACTTCTCAGGGTGAGAATGCCTGTGCTACTGAAATCTAACTTATTAAAAAAATGATGAGGACTCCCCTGGTGGCTCAGTGGTTAAGAATCCGCCTGCCAGTGCAGGGGACACGGGTTCGAGCCCCGGTCCGGGAAGATCCCACATGCCGCGGAGCAACTAAGCCCATGCACCGCAACTACTGAGCCTGCGCTCTAGAGCCCGCGAGACACAACTACTGAGGCCGCATGCCTAGAGCCCGTGCTCCGCAACAAGGGAAGCCACCGCAACGAGAAGCCCGCGCACCGCAACGAAGAGTAGCCCCGGCTCACCGCAATTAGAGAAAAGCCCATGCACAGCAACAAAGACCCAATGCAGCCAAAAATAAAATAAATAAAAATTCATTTTTAAAAAAATGATGAAATGACCCAGGAATTCCACTCCTAGGCAGATACCCAAAAGAACTGAAAACAGGTACTTAATAAATATGTGTACACGAATGCTCACTGCAGCACTGTTCACAACAGCCAATAGTGGAGACAACGAAAATGTCCATCAATAGATGAATGGATAAACAAAATCTGGTCTATCCATGCAATAGAATATTATCCAGGCATGGAAAGGAATGGAGTACTGATCCACACGACAAACTTGGAAACATGATGCTAAGTGAAAGAAGCCAGACACAAATGGTTACGTCGTGCATGATTCAGTTTATATGAAATAGCCAATATAGGCAAATCCATAGAGACAGAAAAGAGATTAGTGTTTGCCAGGGCCTGGGACAATGGGGAGTGACTGCTTAATGGGTTCAAAGTTTCCTTTAGCATGACAAAGATGTTCTGGAAACAGCCGCGATGATTGCACAACATCGTGAACGTACTAAATGTCTCTGAATTGTACACTTTAAAACGGTTAAATTGTATGTGGGTTTTATCACAATAAAAAAAAAATTTTTAATTTTGATAGAAACATTTTTTTCATTTCCCAGGGCTTGCTGGCAGAATTTTTAGGAACCAATTAAATTCATGAAGGATAGGTGAATCGTGAAAGAAAAAAATAATATTCTAACTGTTAAAGAAAAAAACGACTTGATGACACCAGTTAAAGCAAAAGGCAGACTTTATTCAAGAGGAAGGGGTCATCGCCATAGGTGTAGGGAGCATCTGCCATAGGGAAAAGAGATTGGACCCAACTCCAAATACAGCATGTGCACGTGGGGATTTAGAGCCAAGGAGCAGGCTGGGAGTCAGTACATGGAAAACAACTAAGAGGTAGTGATACAGAGCAGGACCCTGCGGGGCTCCTAGACACAGGAGCCTTTCTGTGCCCCCCTGTTTCTTGATTACAGGAAATCGGCTTCATTCAGCCTCCATGACCTTCCCTGAGTTCCAACAGCAGGTTCAAACAGTTGATGCAGAGACGAGGAAGGAACAGTCAAAAGAAACAATAGTGCAGCCTTGGGGCAGGGTCCTGGTTCCCGCTCAAGGGATACACGTAACAAGATCTTTGAGCTGTTTGGCCGATACGGAAGCCCCCACCAGGTGGGAGAAGTTAACGGTATGCTGCCCACAAGCACGGAGACTCCAGACTGGCTGGAACCAGAAGGTTGATGATGCCGACTCCCAATTACCTCACAACCAAACGATCATAAGAATGGCCGTGAACTGACCACGCCCTCTTTGAACCACTCCTATAAAACTCCTCACAGCCCCCTCCAGGTTGGGACACACAGCTTTGAGGGCATTAACCCACCATGGCCCCCTTTGCCTGGCAAAGCAATAAAGCTATCCTTTTCTATTTCACCCAAAAGTCTGTCTCCAAGATTTACTTCGGTGTCAGGGCACAGAGGCTGGATTCAGCTTCAGTAGCCTTAAGGGTAAGAAGGATTCTGGCTACACTGACCTAACCGGATTCTTGCTGGATGAGATGTCACCTGAGCGGTGGTGGTGGGGGGGGGGGACCCAAACAGATATCAAAGGTGATCAGATATCAAGGGTGGGCAGTTCCAGTTAAACTAACTTAGAAGGATTCTTGCTA